AAAAAAAAAAAAAAAAAAAAAAAAAAAAAAAAAAAAAAAAAAAAAAAATCAATCCATCCCACAGGTACTCGCTGAACGGTAAGCCAGGCTACACATCGGGCGGCTCGACGATGAACTCGACGCGCTCGATCTCGACCAACAGCGACCACTACGCGATCGTGCACTCACGGCCGGGCAGCCGGTACTCGGGCCCGGCTCACAAGCAGCATCACCATCACCACCGAGGACCCTCGTCCAACCTCGGATCGCATTATTCGGCCAAGTGACCAAGCGCTACTAAATAAATCAGTGGAAGGAACTTTATTGATCGCTTCGCAACTGTGTAGTCTCATCTTTTTTTTTTTTTTTTTTTAATCATTTAATCATCATCGATCCCGTGCGAGGGAAATCATGTGTGGCGTTGCGCCGATTGCGTCGAGATAGAGAGAGTTAAATTATCCGTAGCATCGTGTGAGCTATTGAGAGAAACTTTACTCTCGTGGATGATAGAGTGCCCGGTGTTTTATTGTCGAAACTTTTCTTCCATTTTTGCGGTTGAAACGAGCAAAGGTGTACAATCGTTGTATTGTGTTTAAGTAACACGAAAAATTTTATTAGAGGATTCAGCGGAGTTTTCTTGGTTATTTCTGCCTTAATCGTCGTCATATCTTTTTGTCTCTATAAGATCTTTAATGCGTAAACCACCCGATTTGAAGTAACTTCCGGTTATTGCAGAAAAAGTATAGTCATGTTGCGCGTGAAAGCGTGTATGTAAATATTTAATTGACTCGAAAAAAATATTAACGTGCAATACATTGAGTACTTATAAGCATACATATAATAATAACGTATAAAAAGTTTATTTTAGTAAAAAGGAAAAAAAAAATTAAAGACATAAATTGTTTTTTTTTCCTCCCACATCTTATATTATTATCATTATGTGGAATCGTCACATCAGTACTTACACTTGTTACACAAAAAAAAAAAAAAAATCATCAATTAAAATTAACTCGTTGATGTATGGCACAAATAAAATGTTCTTATTTTTCCGCCCTTCTTTTTGTTCGTACAGCGCACGGACGAGCGTTCGATCTCAATAGCCGTGAGGATACACAAAACTCTCGAGTTGGCCGACGACAAGTTTTACGTAATAACCTGTGGCAACACCAAATACAGGAACGCAAGGTATATAACATGACTAAGAGAAATCAATATATTCATATTACTATACGCATACGTATAGGTACACCTTATATCTATAACATACGTATACTTTGCGCGTGTCGGAACGACGATTCGGATCGCGTTGAAAGTGAAAGACAATTTTTTTTTTTTTCGCTGATTCGAAAATCTGATTGTATTGTATACGTACAATAGTGGAGTTATGACCAGTGGAGAAAGTATAATCTGGTCGATGTAAATTTTAAATTCATAAGTGAAAGAAGAAGAGGTCGTCGACTGCGACTTAATACCGATGATTGGGTAACGACGGTGGCCAGGGTTCTTTTTTAAGTTTTGATTTTTTTCTCTTTCAAATCCAACAAGTACACGACATTCAATGTGCAATGAAGATTAAATCAATTATTATTTGTTACATGCTTGAAAATCTAGTCTCTTACGGTACTATCGTGAAAATGAAACGTGAGTTTCCGAAGAGCAAAAAACAACAGTGATTTCAAAGCAACGCGAATGATTATTCACGCTAGCCCTAATATAAAATAATGACAACATGACTCTTCTCACCTCTGCGTCCGAAAAATAATCGGTATGTATCCGCTCCGTCGCTTTTTTGACGCGCAAGGCAATCAAAGCAAATTATCCTCCACTTTATTTCATTCGTCCTTCCACTGGATGAAAAGAAAAAAAAGAAAAAAAAAAAAAACGTAAAAAAATATTTAAAAAGTCCCACCTCGACTCATCTCCGTTGCAAACCGCGTATTAGGAACGAGACGTCCTTGGTGTCCTTGCGGCTGCTGGACGGCACGAGGCGAGTACAGGAGGCCTACTTTGGGCACAACTACACGCTACGGGCCGAGATCTCTCCGGTGGACGGTGAGTGCTTGTTTTTTTTTGTTGCCCATTATTATTGCACCACAGCTCAACTCTGTAGCGGTGTATACAACACTCGCTGACTTTTAAATGAGCTTTCGCGCAACACTCGCCTCATATCTTCTCTCTCTCTCTCGAGAGAGAGAGAGATGACGAGCGAGGCACGCTTGTATAGCCGTAATTGGCGAGCCACGGTTGCCCTCGTCGTGACATTTTTCGCAATTGTTCGAAGACCATCGATGTACTCTTGAAAAACGACTGATATGATTGGCCGTCTCTCTCGTGTTCCAGGTACTTATGGCTTCAAGGTGAAATCGTGTCTCGGCTTCGACACCGATAACCACAACGTCACGATCATCGACGACCGAGGGTACGTATACATAATTATATACCCGTGCACGATGACTTGAAAAACATATGAATACGGGTGGGTCGTGTGTGGTCGAAAGGTGTCCGAACAAGGCGAGGTTCATCACGAAGTTCGCGTACGACCGAGAGGCCGGTGTCGCCGAGGCCCAGCTATTGGCCTTCCGTTTCTCCGACACGCAGAAGCAGCTGCACCTCCAGTGCGAAATAGTCCTCTGCAAAGGTGAGGGATAAAATGAGGTAGATGCGCGTATATAAATTGCATGTATGTATTACTTGTCGATCGGCAAAACCAGATAGTTGCGGCGAGCCGGTGTGCGACGGCGACGACACAGCGGTGAGCATAAAGAGCGCCAGTTTCGCCAAAGGACAGCAACAACAGCAGCAGGTGATCAGAGAGGAGGAGGCGGTCCTGCACGCCGGCACGAGCGTCTTCGTCCTCAATCCCGGCGACAGTCCCAGTGAGTATCCCCCTTGCTATAAGTATACTCAGTGGAAGGTGTAACAGTAACGTTGGTCAACTCGCCATTTGTCGCAGTGCTCCAGCCCCTGTGCGAAGAAGGCGGGGTGCATCCCAGTTGGCTGCTCTGGTTGGCCATAGCTCTGGGGGTCCTCTTGCTCATAATGTTCATCATCAACGTGTTCCTTTGCTCGGCCATGACCTGCAGCTGCGCCCGCACCGAGATCATCGAGAAGGAGCCCTCGATCATCGAGGACTACGATCCTTACCGCAGCTGGCACGGTTCACAGTACGGATCGAGGTTTGGATCTTCTCTATCGTGACTCAATTTTTTTTTTTTTTTTCCCCCCTCCGACATATATATACTTTTAACCGATTTTGCAGTGTATTAAAAGTACGTTCATCAGTGAGCGTGTGGTGTTTTGTCGATTTTTTTTTTTTTTTTTTTCCCCGCTCCGCTTCGAGGAGATTTGGATCGCCGGCTCTGTGCGCCCGTACACTCTGATTGAAGATACTTGTGTGTGGTCCGTGTAGTCACCTGTAAGAGGAGTACGCGTCTTTGGTAAGAAAAGTGGGAATAGCCCCCTAATTGAACACAATTTGCTTGTACATCTTCAGTTGATAACTTCATGTATAAATATAATCGTTTTGGAGAGAAAAAAAGTCTTGTCATCAATGATTAATATGCGAAAGGTGAACATTCCGAACATGAATATAAGTACCCTTTTTTTGTAATTTTCCAAGAATTTTCACATTATAGTCATTCATGAGAAATCATACTCGGGGGAAAAAATGACACCCACTCATAGGGCGTGCTTACAGAGCCATCGCTCGGACTATTTAATTGTGTAACATCGTCGGTAAATTAACGGAATGTGGGGTATTATGGTATATTGGGAGTGGGTCACGCGTGCCCGTATCGATTGTCCGTTGCTCTAAAAGCGCGCACGCGGGGTACAAAATTTGATTTGCCAGTATAAGCTGGTACACTCACATGATACACATGGCGCATGTGGTGTACAAAGCGAAAGAGGACGCTGAGGTTTAGCCCGAATCGAAGCGGCGGGGCTATAAACGTTGTTTGTCGGCTCAATTATATCGTGCAGCCCCATCAACCCCATACCTGCGTTGTTTTTTTGTTTTTTTTTTTCGGGCTACTTTTCTCCTCTCAAGCGGAGTATGCACAAAATGCTCTTGCAATAATATCGGTACCCCCCCGCGAGTGACATTTTTCCATGCGTTGGTATACAACGAAGAGACATTTGTTTTGTTACTCGTTGCGAGTGATGAATATTGTCCAACGCGCGCAATCCAAATACGCTCGACGCACATCGTTGGCGAAACAATTTCAGAGCCGAATCTACAAATTCTCCGCATTGCCATTTCCAACCAAGTGCTCGGAACATTCCCGTCATCTTTGCGAGCCCATCACCCATATAATATATATACACGTGCGCACTCGCGGTGAAAACCAACACACACAGCGGCTATCGTATTGGATTTCCTCGAGGTCCTCCACGCGGGAAATGAATGTCTCTCCACGGCTGCCCCCCTCGCGTATCGACAAATCGTTCAAATATTGGCACGTGCGCAATATTCCGCTCTTCCAGCTAAACTTTCCCGATCACGTCGACCATGTATCCGTATGTATTATATTCATGTATACGGAAACCTGCACCCATTCGCAATATTTTTCCGTATTTTTCTCGCCCCATTGTATTTGGTGCGAAAACTTACAGAGAGATACCGTTTGACGTGCAGAGGGGGGGGGGAGTTCGTGCACTCGCTGTGTTTTTCCCCTCATCTCTCGGCTCCTCAACCTGCTTTTCACCTGCCACCGGGGCACATACATATATACATCTATGCACGGCTTTGTCTTCTCTCTCTTTGCTCTCCTTTGGAATAACGTATGTAGGTACATATTATATTATATGTACGTAAACCAGCGTCATCGTAGATGTCAAAGTTATACCACCCTCCTCTCCCAACATATCACTTGTAGCTGCAAGAAAAACGTACCACCACCTATATAGGTACGCTCTTTTATTTGCAGTTGGCTCGATTGTCGCGTCGCGTCGTAAGAGACCACGCCACATGTGTGCTCTTTATGTACACCTCGTGTTAGTTGTCATGTCTTTCTTTTTACGTGCAAACGCTCGTGAGGATGTTTTATCCAAACGGTATATATACATATGCATAATGTAAGGACGAGTTGAATATCGTCGATTATAACACGTATATATATCAAGTATGGAACGCTCGACTGACTCTTTGTTTGGCCGTGCAAGTACCGCTGGCTGGATGTTGGTTTTTTCTTTTTTTGTTCTCTTTAACGAAAATTACCGCGAGAACTTATTCGCAATGTATGGGTACCCGATAAAATTGAGTTTTCCATTACCACGGGAGAAGTAGATTTTAATTCATCAACTCCAATGGTTTTTTCTTTTTTCTTCTCTCTCTCCCTATTGGTAACGAAAGGTGATGAGTGAATCGTGGTATGGTAAAATTGATGGATCGTGTTTCGCGCAGTCGGTAGAAAAGTGTGTGGTGAAACGAGAGTCGACAATGAGAGAGAATCGAAAGTGAACGAAGCCACGACGAGGAATGTGGGTACTATGGGATAAAAAAAAAAAAAAAAGTTTGTTGCACCGATGGAAAAACGGAGGGTGAGGAACAAAAGACTAGTGAAATATGTATGTATACATCACACCGACGTTCTCTCTCATCGCTGCGTGTGGCAACAAACAATCGCACGCGGAAACGACGAAAATTAATGTTTCTGTAAATGAATCGGCGGTGGGTGTGTTTACGAGAAAGCCGTTCTCGAGGTGTTTATGAATAGGGGAGGTGGTGATGGGTGGAAACTGTAAATCTATAAACAAGGTATCAAAGTGACGGTTACCCTATGGAAAACGATCGCATATTTTCACGGAAAAAGCAGAGCCCGCGCCGATGGAAAATTTTTACAAGAGAAATTGCCGAGGAAGAAAAAAAAAGGGGCGGGAGGAAGGGTTGCTCGATGAAAAAACACATTTTGCTTTGTCGGAGGGGTCAAGTGACCCAGATAACACTCGGGTGGAAAAGAAAACACTCCTGTGCCTCGTTTACCGACTAGAGGACGTTGTCTGTGTTTGGGAAAAAAGTGGACCAGCGGACACATGGCAAACTCACTTGGAATTAAAGTGTATTGTTGAAACGGAAACAACCCCGACGAGACTCGAGAATTTATACGGAGTAAAAATACCCATCACCAACAACAATCGGACATCAGCAATCCCATGGTTATATGGTTAATTCTACCCAAAATGTGCACCAGCGGAATCTTTTTTTTTTTTTTTTTTTTTTTTTTTTTTTTTTTTTTTTTTTTNAAAAAAAATAAAAAAATAAAAATAAATAAATAAAAAAACAAAAAAGAAAAACAAATAAAATTACTCGACCCACCCCACGGAAAGTCACACCACCAGAGCCAGAGCTCTGAGATCTTTCTCCGTCAAACACTTCAAGATTCGGTCGAAAATGTGGGGAAAAGCCACGGGACTCATCGACGACACTCTGCTCAAGCCCTTGACGGCCTTCTTCCTGAGCCTCTGCTCCTTCCGCATCTCGTAAAACCTCCGGACCAACAGGTCCTTGTACACGTCGAACTCACCCCCGGCCAAGCGTCGCCTAAAGGCGTCGACAACCGCGTCGAGCATGACCCACTGTCTGGAACTCTCGTCGCACAGTAAATTCAAAAACGTAAAATTGTTGTGTATCCGCGTGTCCAGCATCCGCGCGAGGTTCACCTCGCATCTGCGGTAAAAATCCCGCCACTTGCCGTTCAAGCCGTCCCTGCTGAAATTCGCCGGCCTCTCGGCCCTCCAGCTCGACGTGTTGCACAGCGCCACGTGTCTTAGGAGTAGCTTGGCTATTTGGTCCTTGCCGCCCATGGCCGATCGCACGATCTCGTTTTCGCAATCGAAGGTCGCCCCGCGCATCAGCAGGTAACGCACGTACGCCACGGAGTGGACCTGCATGTCGTCCGTGTTCACTACGTTGGTCAGCACAGCCATGAGCGCCGATCGGCCGGGAAGGGGCGTGTTCACCTCTGCCCCGTGCTCTATCAGTAGGTCAGCGCAGCGAAAGATGTCTCGTCTTTTCTGTGAAAAACAAAATAGCCCCGATGATGGATGCTGCAGTGCCTTTTGTGCCAATTTGTACACAAAAAATGGTCCAAAGCCATGGCACAAATGGTAATAGAGTTTTGTACACTTTGCACGTGTTTTACGTCACTCAAGCAGGATCAAAACATCTTGTTGAAGCGCTACGTCTTATAATATAAGCGATGTTTTAATCGTGGGGACGAAAAATTCGATAGCGTTGAGTTTAAAAACAAAAGATTGACATTTTTTTTCTTTTTCCCCCCACAATTGAAATGACGAGTATCAATTGACATAGTTAACTCGTGTGTACAACTCACGTTGACGGAGGATCTTTGGTACTCCATGATGTAACAGCCTATCTCGTTGAAGCAATAACCGAGGGTGTTGCATCCCGTGTTGTCGTAAGCGTTGGCCGTAGCGCCCCTCTCCAGGAGATACCTAATCATCTCGTACTTGACGCAATTGGCCGCGTAGTGCAAACTCGTCCTGCCGGCTCTGTCGACCGCGTTCACGTTGCTCCCGGCGTTTACGAGCAACTTGGCCCGATTGATGTCACCTGCGTGTAAGCGTGTGCAATTTATCATGTATTATAACATAGAAATAAAAAGAAAAAAAAAAAAACCAGCAACAACTGCTGTATAATAAACAATAACGATAATTACAGCCCAAGGGGGAGAGGGCGACGTAGTGGAGCGGGGTGAAGCGCGCGTCGTCCTTGGCGTGGACGCTGCAGCCGGCCCTCAGTAGCATCTCGACCATGGGGGTGGACGATTCGGCGGCCAAGTGCAGGGGCCCGTACCGATTTCTGTAGTACTCGTTGTCCAAAACGGCACCTCCCGTCACGAGCATCCTCGCCATGGATCGGCGATTCCCGCGCACGGCCAAGTCCAGGGCCAGGGTGCCAAAGCCGTCCTTCCGGTTGACCGACAACCCGGACCTTATCAGGAGCCACACTATCCGTTTCTCGTTGCGCTCCACGAGGTAGTGCAACAACGGCTCCCGGTACTCGCCGCACGTCGTGTCCTCGTTGACCTCCCCCAGGAGTCCCAACACCACGGCTCGCTCGCGCAGCATCAACGCTCGCCTCATCTGCTTCGTCCACTGGTCAAATGAATTTTAAATTAATGAAATTCCTTTTTTTTTTTTTTTTTCTCCATTCGCCCGACAGATCCCTCTCTCTT